TTCCTCTTTTGCAAATTGCAATTCCACTCTATAAAAGGGTCATGTAACTAGAACATCAGAATTTTGAAGTACAAATGCATTGAGCCACTATATCCTTTTTCTTCACTCCTTACTCTTTTCACCCTCTCAATGTCTCAATCATACCTGTATTATTGAAACCCTTATCTGGTGGGATGTCTATTTAATCATGTTAATTATACTAAACAATATTTCTAAATTTTAATTATCATATCAATGCATTAGTAATGAGAAGATCATCTATGACACACCAGTAAGAAGAAGTGATCAGTTTCAAGTTGAAGAGGCTGCAAGAACTAGGGGCAAACCAAAAAGGATATGGGTTGAAGTAGTAAGCAATGATTTAAAGGCCATAATTTAACAATAGATTTGACACTGAACAGAGCAGAATGGCAGAATAGGAGTCATGTAGCCAACCCTGTATAGTTGGGACGAAGCTTAGATGATGATGATGACGATATCAATGAATTAGTAATATAATTTAAATAATTGTGTTTAATAAGGGTTTCTATTTAAATATTATATGTTTATCATCAGTGCAGGTACTTCGTTACACCCGCCAATTTCCTAGACCTAAATTCAGTTAGTAAAGATCTTGTCTAGACAAGTTGATTGCCTATGTGAGACTTACTGGGCTAATGTTTTGAGACATTCTTATGCTAATGCATTTCCTCTTATGGTGACACATAGGAACACAGTTGCATGCATCCGGATGCACAAGAAACAAAAAAAAAGTGATATCAGATACTGTTCTTTATTACCCCTTTTTCTAATCAATTTCATTTCACTTTTTGTTTCTTGTAGGGGATTGATTAATGATTTCTTTTATGCGGAAGCATTTTCTCGGTCTAGATGGTCTTCATTTTGCTGGGGGCCAAGGCGAATTAAGCAAGTATGATATTCTTTTTTGAACTGTTGTTTGATTTCTATTCTCTTAAAGGTTTTTACTGCATAACCTTTATCTATCATTCCCGATTTCTGAACAACTTTACTTACCTTTCCTTTTGGTGCCTGGTTTTATTTTTTTAATTAAATTTGCGTATTTTCCCTGAGTTTATAGATGAAATATGGCGGTGATAGATATATAATAATGTTAAGGCAGTGTTTGTTTCACAATAAAATGGACATATCAAGGTGTACTTTTCATTACTACATGGTGAAAAGATTTAACAAGTTGAAGATCCTTGTTTGTTTATAGTAGTTAAAACTTATAAATGATTAAAAAAACTAGCAACTTTTTATAGTTATTTATGCCTCATTTCTGGTATAATTGTTAAGAAAATACATGAAACCTGGGGATGATTCAATGCTGTGGAATCAGGCACTTCTCCAGAAGGGAGTGAATGAAACAGATGCAGAAAAGGCAATGAAACTTGTCTTCGAGCAGGATGATTCTGGGAGCAGTCAGGAGTTGAATCTTGGTATGTCAAAGTCTTTACTCGAAAGCCTATTTACTAAGGCCTCAAAGCAGTGGTTGCAGGGTCGAGATGTTCCTCATGAGACACGGAAATCAAGGATCATTAGATGGCTACAGTACCGTGGGTTTAACTGGGCTGTTACCAGCTACATTGTAAAGAGGTTGGAATCCAAGCATCCTCCCCAAGTATATTGACAACCTCACTAGGGGATTCTCATGTAACTTCGCACATTCATTTTCCCTGCAATGTAAAGGAGAGACCATCTTGGTACCTCCATGTTTAGTTCCCTAAAATTTGATTTGGTGGACCAGGGATTCCATGCAACAGTCTGGATCAGGGATAATTGCAATGCCCTACATTCTGGCAATCTGTTCATCATATAAAAGGTTGCATAAGTAGCCAAGACTAAAGCTACACATGGCTCTCCATGCTGCGTTATATGTCAACCTACCTGCTGCCATCTTGTATGACAAGCTCTTTTTAAAATGATCTGGTTGCAGAGTCAACTGTAATATCAAGCAGACATCACCTTTGGAGTTTATTGGCAGTTGGATTGGCTGCACATTTCTTGATGAATGAAGAATTCTTTATTTTATGTAATCTTTGATATTGCTAATGGAAACACCATTTCTTGCAATTTGTGTAGGCATCGGCTTTTTGATGAGCCATACTTGTATTATTTATGGATGATGAGCAGCTATGTGACTGAGGCGTTTCTAAAATCTAAATAAGACCGAGGGATTACCAATTGGTGAATTGGAATTGGGACGGTTTCACCAAGATAGTGAAGGTCAGCTTGATTGGAAGTCTAAATGCACAAGATTTTTGTGTCGATCTATACATTTAGGAGGTTCATCCCAGGGAAGTTGACCCTTGGGTACAGAGTATTTCTCTTGGTCATACCCATCATCGTATTGGCAGTCCACTCCTCCCTATCTAGGATACTAGTTAATGGGCAGTTGGCCACCTGTTTAGGACCAATTATCCATATGATAAATTCATGTTAGATTTTCTTTATTTGATTTAAGAGATTAAATCAGGTTTTGTTTGTGAATAATAATACACTCTATCTAGAGTAATGTGATCCCCATGCCAGGTATTGAAAGCTTTTGTGTATTTTTTGTTAAGACTAAAAAACCTTTGTTGGGGGTTGGGGCTTTTATTTGAGTTGAAAAACTAGATGTTAAGAAAGATATCTCAACTTAAGCGAAATTTTAATTGGTTGGGTTCTACACTGTGGGTTGTGCTTCTCAATGTCAATGATGCTGGAAACGTATGACATGAGGTTGACCAATTAGATTGCCCTGGGTGAATTTTGACGACTACCAGTTGATTGGTTACCACTTCTATGATATTGGTTGATTTTCAGTTTAACTCTTTGTGCTTTGATTAAATTTCAATGAGAAAGGTTCGACATTATTAATATGGGTTCTCGTATCATTTGAAGTGAGTACTTGATAGAGGTAATTGTGCATCAAAAAAAATGTTCTTGAAGTGGATGCTTTTTTTTTTTCCGTTGTTTTGAGAGTGATTGTATGAATTACCCCACTAATTTGAGGTCTTATATGAACATTTGAATCTTCAAATTGATTAGGATTTTTTGGTTTTAAGCGTAAGCTTAGAGTGGAAAAAATTAAGAGGTTGAACTTAGTTGCTATAATCTGTGTATGTATATGATGGAACTTTAATGATAGAAGGTGAAGGATATATAGCCCTTGATACAATGTACTGGTGAAACAGGATTTGTATAACCCTAAATTCAAATTCTTTTCTTTCTTCTCTTTTTTATTCTTTTTAATGGAGTAAATCCAGAGGCGTGCGCTTCCTTTAGGGGAATTTTTCCGCCAACTTGGAAAACTTACAGCAAGCATTCAAGCCCATGATTGTCTTCCTCTTCCCTCAAATCGAGGAGTCAGAGAAAGAAAAAGAACAATTGGAAGATACTTGCAAGACCCTAGTCTGTGCAGGAGAGGATGCGAGTGCTGTTGATGAAAAAGCTCCCTTTCCACCCTTGAATTGGTCCATTTCAATCTTTGCAATCTCGAAATGTCTGATCTCCTTGAGCATGGCTACAACATCCTTCATCATAGGGCGGTCATGTGCTCGAGTGCTGACACACAGAAATGAAACTGCGAGTGTTTGAATCATCTCGTGTATCTGAATGTTGGTCTGCCCTTGAAGCTTTGGATCGAGGATTTCCATGGGGTCACGCTTACTCTGCAAGTGGTCTCGGATCCATTCAACCAAATGCGCCCCTCCGGGCAAGGCTGGATCTAGGGGATGTCTTCCAGTTAAGACCTCCATCAATAGTACGCCAAAGCTGTAGATATCACTCTTCTCTGTGATAGGTTGCACGGATGCATGCTCTGTACAAACCCAAAATTGTTAGAGAAGTGAAATCGGATTTGATGCTCACAAAGTTGTGTTCACATCAGGTTTACGGCCCTTTTCAGCCCCTGCATTGGGAGTATCTCTCCATGAATATTCCCGATGCACAACTGGAAATGACAGAATGGTGTGAGGACTGAATCCGCCCTCCTTGAGTTCACATGGGAACATCTCCTGATGATGACATCATCGGTTCTGGTACTATCATCAGGAGATGTTTCCAATACACGGCGGGGATGTGTTGTAGGACGTCATGGGGCAGAGATGTCGACTCTCCCCAAACTGGTTAGGTGAAACAGGTCTGATGTTCCACTTTGAATGAGTTCACTTTTGCTACGGTACTGTCATTAGCTCAAGGGTAAAATCGAAAATCAAGGCCTTAGATTTATTACTGTGGTACCCACCAATAAAAAATGGCCTTGATTTTATGATTGGTGTGGGATCAATGATAATGCCCCACACCAGATTTCATTTCACATGAATGCCACTATGTAGCAGGCTGTGGATCCACACCAGTGAAAAAATACATGGGACTTTCATTGAGAGGGTAAATGGTTGTAGGTTCCATGTATTTTATGAGAGACCGAATCTACTCTTCACACAGGGCACCTCACACCGACCTCGCAGGCACATCCTACCATGCATTGGGATAAATTATCATTCATGGGAGATGTTCCCAATGCACGGTGGATGTGCCTGTTAGGTGCCCATGTATGAGGAGCAGATCCCGTTCCATTTTATGACTAGTGTGGAGTATTAGTAATGATTCCACTTCAACAGCTGTTGTGTTCAGTTAAACCTATTTCAAGTAAAACACCTAATTCTAATAGACTATTCATGCACCAGACTGAGGCTCACCAACTACAGGCAACACTATACCTCCTGATTTATAGATTTAAACCTTAAGTCCCCAAACCCCAAAATCCTAAACCCTAAGCCCCTAAATCTAAAACCTAAATTCTAAACTGTAAACCCCAAAATCCTACACTATGGTAAGATGCATATCCTTCCAACGTGGGAGCAGCCAAGTATTTTTCACGAATTAAAGCAAAAATAAAAAAAAAAGTTCTGAAAGGAAAGGAGATGAATAGTTTGATTACCTGGGGCCATGTACCCGTAGGATCCAGCAAGCTGAGGTTTCAAATTCAATTTGCAAAGTTCATCACCAGCATCAGATGCATCCACAAGTCTGGCTAACCCAAAATCAGCCAAATACGGCTCAAATCTTGGACCCAGCAACACGTTCATGGCCTTCACATCCCCATGCACGATAGCAGGGACACAGTCATGGTGCAAGTAGGCAAGCGCATGCGCTACTCCTAACACCACTTCATACCTTGTATCCCAGTCTGCTCCACCCTTCCCGGAGCCATGAAGGAGCGCGCTCAAGCTCCCATTCGGGAGGTAGTCGTAGAGCAATAGCTTCATGCTCTTGTTCGAACACCACCCCAGCAGCCTCACAATGTTCCGGTGTCGGATTGAGCCCAGTGTCCGAATCTCAGACTTGAATGCCTCCGGTTGCTCTGTCGACCACATCTTCTTCACTGCCAACGTCTCCCCATTTGGGATTTCCACCCTGTAGACAACACCGGAGCTTCCAGTTCCGATCACGTTGGCCAACGTAAGATTTCCAACAACATCATCGATCGAGAAGTCGAGCTTCTGAAAAAGGGTCATTTCCCAAGCATCGTTTTCTGTATCCCCAAGGCTGCCTACACGAGCACGTACTAAGATGTATGCTGTAAGTAAGAGTAACATTGCACTGGCACTGACTAGCACAGACGTCACCAGCTTTGATGCCGATCTGGTGTGCCCATTGGACCCCAGGTGGTCGGCGGGAGTCACGATCCCGCCGGTAATGTAGAGTGCCCGGTTCCCGGTTAGATCGCTCAGTGGGAGTTTCCGGAAGAATGACGTGTTGGGTAACTCGCCGGAGAAGCTGTTGTAGGAGATGTTGAGGGCGACGAGGTTTTGAAGGCTAGCAAGCATGTCAACCTTCCCCACGAGCGCATTGTGGGAAAGGTCAAGGATTCCGAGCTTCTGAAGACTGGAGAGTTGAGCTGGGATTTCACCTGACAGGCGGTTGCAGCTGAGATTGAGAGATATCTCGAGTGCAGGAAGATCGACCAATTCCTTGGGTATCTCGCCTGACAAACCGTTGTCACTGAGATCCAATAACTGTAGCTTGTAGCAAGACGCCAACTCCGGTGGAATTCTACCAGAAAATCCGTTCTTGCCGAGAATGAGTTTAGTCAGCTCTGTCAGGGACCCAATGCTTGGAGTCAATGGCCCTGTTAGTCTATTATCTGAAATGTCAAGAAATCGAAGGCTTTTTGGAAGTTTTTCCGGCATAGATCCAGTAAGACCATTGGAGTGGAGATCTAGAAACTCCAGATTCCCACAGGCAGACAGTGACAGTGGAATTCCACCAAGAAACCGGTTATTGCTCATGTCAAGGAAATTCAAATTTTTCAAATTCCCAATCTCGACTGGAATCACTCCTGCGAGCCTGTTGTTATTTATTCTGAACCGATATAAGTCGGTACAGTTTCCAATATCCGGTGGTATGAAACCAGATAAATCATTAGATACCAGTAGCAGCTTGGTGAGATTTCTCAATCCAAAAATATGTTTCGGAATTGGTCCGATTAGTTGGTTGTATGATAGATCAAGAGCCTGAAGATTCTTACAATCTGCTAGACTCTCTGGGATTTTTCCTGTAAGCTTATTCTGCCAGGCGAAGAACAGTGTCAAGCTCTTTAGTTTGCCTACAACAGCTGGGATCTCACCAGAAATGTTGTTGTTGTCGACCTCAAGGTGTGTTAAACTTGAGCAGTTAGAGATTTCAGTAGGGAACGTACCTGTCAACTGATTAATGCTCAACAGAAGCTCCTGAAGCTCCAAGAGGTTCCCTAAACTTCTTGGTATGCTGCCTGACAACATATTCTCTGAAAAATCCACAACCAAGAGCTCTCTACAACGTCCAAGCTCATCAGGGATCGTACTCACCAGGTTGTTCTGCCACAGCAGTAAGTTTTGAAGCCTTCTCAGCTCCCCAATTCGTTTTGGTATTGAACCTGAGATAGAATTCTGATACAAATACAGGTTTTGCAATTGGCTGCAGCTACCAATCTCCTCCGGGATAGGACCAGATAAAAGAGATGTATAAATTGCTATGGTTTGAATCTTCTTCAGTGAACCGATTGAAGGAGGCAGGCTTCCTGAAATGCTGGTTTCTGCAAGTCCCAACATGACCAAATTAGTACAATTTCCTATCTCTGAAGGCAGCATCCCTTTGAGATTTTGATTCCCGCCTGCTCGAAAGACTTCCAGCTTACTTAACCTTCCAATACATTTTGGAATTTCGCCACTGAGTTGATTGTTATAGAGCGCAAGGTAGACAAGGTTTGAAAGGTTTCCAATGTTGGGAGGGATACTGCCTGCCAGAAAATTCGAACTGAGAGAGAGACTTTGCAGATTGCTCAGCTTACAAATTTCAGCCGGGATTTCTCCAGAGATGGCATTGTTGCTGATATCGATGCCATTCAACTCTTGATATTCTCCAAACTCTTTTGGTATTGGGCCTGTGAGATTGGTTGTTGAGAGGATAAGAGTATTCAGAGACTTGAGAGAGTGGAAATTTGAAGGTAATGGGCCTTGCAAATTGACTGACTTCAAATTAAGCTGGACTACTTCGCCATTGGCATTGCAAATGATCCCAAACCAGTTGCAGGGTTTTGAGTCTGAAGGATTCCATGTTACCAGCGCGTCCACAGAGCTGTTTAAGCTGTTTTTCCATGTGAGAAGAGCTTGGCCCTGTTCATCAATGGATAAACAACTAAAGAAGAAGAGGGAGTTTATTGAAACAAGAAAGGTGATAGACAAGATATTGGGAGAAAGAAGGAGATTCTTTGGAATTGCAGGCATTGCTGATGATAGAAAACAGGTGATGATCTGTTTTGGGATTGTAGAGGAGTGAACCCCATGTTTTGTTTATAGAAGAAAGCAGCAGATTTAGATCCAATAGCAACTTATTTTCTAATATTATTTTTATTGCTATTGCTGTTGTCAATTGAGAACTGGTGATGCAGATAGATTTTCTGTTTAGTTTATGGAGGTGCTTGTGGGTTCTTTGTTTGCTCCTGTCAATTGAGCAAGTATGAAATGTGGGAAGTTCACCATTGGGTAATTGTCACATGGGGAAGTTGGATTTTCTATAAAAAAACAGGGCTTCTATTTTCTACTTTTTCACTGTTTGGGTTCTTTTGTTTTGTCAAATTTGTTTGCCTCGATGATTGATGCAGGCATTTGTTTTTATTTTATTTTTATTTGTTGTTGGGCAGGCAAAATTTATCTTTGAGTTGAAGGTGGATGCTTTCTTCTTGAACTTTAGTGATGGAATGATTTAAATAAGCAAGAAAGAGCTGGAACCAACAGAAAAAAAGGGAGAGGATGATAAACTTTTGGCTTCAGCTAACAAGACCCGGAAGATGTTTCTCTATCAAGACAAATTGGGATTGTTTTCATCAATAGACCATCTTTTTGAAGGCTATATATTGTCTAGTGAAAGACTGAGGTGACCCCACATTGGAACAATTGGTGATTGATGATCCATGATTCCATTATATGTGTTCAGGAGGGTAATAACTATACTAGAGAGCATGCATCAACCACAAGAACATGCTTCTTAGAAAATAGATAAGCTTTTCGTTAGACTGAAGAGATTGGAGAAGTTAAGTTAAATGGGTCTTGATTGTAGATTGCAAAAGAAAAACATAGGACAGGTCCGATAGGATTTATTATAATATGAACAAAGCTCAAAGTCAGGGATCTGTTAGGGTAAATCTATAAAAGAATTGGATTTTTTCTATTGCTTTATGGCATGGACCAGGATAGACTATAGAGTGTCTCGGGTCTACAGAATCCAGTGAAGTGCTGCACATGGAAGCGAGAAACAGCCAAAGAATAGCTTTCATAAAATGCAAAGCTGATCATGTTGTCCGGCTGCTTTTCATGTAAGAAAGAAGAAACCTGCAAAAAATATTGATGGACTTACGTGCAAGGAACATCTGCACCAGCATGAACTCACAAGTTGCAATCAATGTTTTAAAAACCAACCTACATGTAACCGGAACCGTTTTGGCCACCGATTTTCAGGTCAGCGGTTCGACCTCCCAGTCCAAATGGATTGGCCTGTTGAAATTCAAAAAATAAAATGGTCAAAAACTGTTGTTCGGGTTAAATGGATTGACAGATTATTAACTAAATCAACAGTTTTTTTGTCTAAAGAACGGTTTAAGGGTGAAACGAAATCAATTGCCTGTCTGATTTCCAAGCCAAATGGTTCGTCCGTTTGGGTCAACAATAGTTTGAAAATCATGCTTGCAATTGTTACTCTTTTTTTTTTATGGAAAAAGATAAGCTACACAAGTCTAAGGGTAACTCTTCCCCTTACATCCACTTTACAAATAAAATTAAAATCACATGTCCTAAACTCATTACTACCCTCTCGATTATTAAAAACTTTAAGCAATCAGTGAACTGATTTATTTCCCGATACATACACTTGAATCTGATATTAAAGTTATAAAACTCAACAAAGTTTCGACACTCGCTAATGCTATCACAAAATGCTACTATAATAAAAGCAGAGCATATTTGCTGCGACCGTTCCCTTGTGAATGCCAATGAAATACGGACACTTCGGTGATTAAAATAAAAAAAGTTAATGTGATATGTTTTGAATATATTTCTTTTTATGGTCTGTTCATGTTTCATTGGAGGTAGCAACTTGCAAGGGAGTGCAGATGTGAACTCCTATAATCAATATATCAACATCTTATATATATATATATATATATATATATATATAAGATTCGATTTGGTTTGAATGGATGGTTCGTTCTGACAACTGATGGTTCAACCATTCGGTTCGAACAAACGATTTGTTTTGACAACAAAAATTACAGGTAAAAAATTGAGTGTGTGAGGTCCATTAAGTAGTATTATACGTGTTATGTCATTCGAGTGTGTGACTCATACGACCCAAAAATGGAATCGTTCTGGCCATCGGTTTTTGGGTCGACGGTTCAACCGTCCGGTTTGAACAGATGGCCTGTTTTGACAACAAAAATTAAAAAAATAAAAAAATGACCAAAAACCATTGAATAGGTCAACGGGTCGACGGTTCAACTACCCAAGTCAATGGGTCATTGACCGATTCAATGGTTTTTTTCCAGGGACTGAGATTGGGATAAAATGGAACTGGTTGCTTGGACGGTTCCCAATTAAAAAATAAAAAAATGACCAAAAACCATTGAATGGGTCAATGGGTCGATGGTTCGACCGCCCGGGTCAATGGGTCATTGACCAATTCAACGGTTTTTTGCCAAGGACTGGGATTAGGGTAAAATGGAACCAATTACTTGGACAGTTCCCGGGATGAAATGTCCTTCCATCGGGGTCAACGACGGTTTGAAAACCATGGTATTTATGCTTTTAGATTTTAACTATTCGAAGGTTTCTTCTATTGTGGGCTTTATTCGAGCGTGTRTGGTATCCTTTTTTTTTATTTTCTGCTTTTTGTGTGTGTGTGTGTATGTGTTTGGTCTTCTTCTTCAAGATCATCCAAAACGGTCTAGGGTTTACCACCATTGTATCTATCCTTTTTTTTTCTTTGGGTTTTCTTATGCAATGTTTTTCTTTTTATTTTCTCACAATACGGTATGCTTTATCTCCTTCTTTGATTGAATGTATACTTTGTTTCTTTCTTTGATAGAATATAACTACCCACAAATTATAGATAATGAAAGATTATGAAATTTAGATTATAAACTATTTTTCATTTGTTTAGTTCATTTTTATGGAATTTTTCAAAACAAAATTCAGATTATGAAGGATTATTCTATAGTCTATACATTTTAGATAATAAAGGATGCATATTTACTTTGGATTATTCTAGCAAGGATGGTTATGACTCACCTAATCAGTGAAAACTGGTCTACCTCTCCTGCTATTTCATATTTGATTGCAGAGGAGATGTTTGCAATTAATGGAAGTTAAATGAACAAGCCAAAGAGCTAATTATCAAAGAAAGCAGGGTGGTTGAATTAGGGGTGGTTCTGGTTCAGTCTGAGTCTTTTTCCCCCTTATTTGGTTGGCACCAGCTCTGTAAGGATAATCTTGCAGTTAGAAGATTCAAAGTCAAAAAAGGCATCAACCTGTTTTGGTGTCAAATATATTTGCTGGATTACAAGGAGGATTATTTGGGATTGGACCAAATAAGAAGGTAATGAAATACATGAATGTCCAAAAGAAGTAGCAAGATGTGTTCTTTTCCTCTTGGAATCTTGGATGCGAGAATTCTGTTTTGGCTTGTGTGTTTGTTTATATTTGGATGGATGGGTTTATTTTGAGTTTTATTATTATCAAATTGGATCATGGTGGACGATTTTAGTTTGGTTCTCGTCTTTCTTTTTTTTCGTTGGTAAAGCTCTGCTATTTGGCATCTAATCTTTTGTATTGTTAGGTGGGGATTTGATGTTAAGTAAGTGGGTTTGGATATTCTCTTTTTCTTTCTTAGGCTATGTTTGGTTTGAAGGAATAGGTAGGGAAAGGAAGGAAAAGATAGAGAAACCTTTACAACCCTTGTATTGGTTTCCCTATCTTTCCCTTCCTTTCCCTACCTTTTCCTTCAAACCAAACATAGCCTTAGGTGACCTATGGTTACCTTCGCCTCCTTGTGTCTTTCTTTCTTATTTTAATAATTTTTTATTATCAAAAAATGATGACCAGATCATAACCCATTAATGTATAGACTCTTTACACTAACTTTTTTTTATCAATGTCTCCCTACACTAACCTTGGCCATTGTTTTCTTTTTTTCCTCTACATCTTTTATTTTTCTTACCTCCTTTATTGTCAATGTTGTTGCATATGAACTTTCTAATTTTTATTTGGAAAATCCCACAAAGAAGGTTTATCCATCTAAATGAGGTTTTTAGGTTATTATCTCGAAATCTGGCTCCCCAGAAATAATGTCTACAAGTTTAAGGCACCATAAATAATGTCTCCTGTTGTCCACCATATCACCAATTTTCAGTCACCCTCTACTTCACTCTTGTTGGATTCAAAGACTAGCATAGTGTCAAGCCTTGATGTCAAGTTAGGATTTATGCCTTGGAATTCTTGTCTCCTGTAGGCTTGCTATACCTGAAATGTGATGTCCAAATCCCCAAACCCCTCAGAACACTGGATTACCCAATACAGTTTTGTAGTCTCCTACTCTCTGGAGAATTTTCTCAAACCATAGGATTCACTAACCTTGTGATGAAGGATGTTGCCATAAAAGTCTCCTCTTTTTGATGATGTTGTTTATAGGTATCTGGAAATCAGCTCTTTATCACATGCACAACACATTGATAACCAAATCAAAGATAAAATAATTATGTAAGCTCCTATTGATGCATGAAGGTGGCTAATGGTGGAGCTGGTGGCATTCTTAGGATAATTTTCTGACAAAAATGGGCATATGGGTTTAGGCTCTGAGTCTTGAATAGATAAAGTATATGTATGTTACTGTTATGGTGATTTTTTCCCTTTTTTGAAAAGGTATACATTCATTAATTAAAAGAAGAGGTGAAAAGAAAAACTTAAAATCAAAGAAAACATTTCAGATAGATTGTGAATTGTGAATGATGGAGGGTGATTTGACCCGACCCCTTGGGACGGTTACATGTGGACATGACTCAGCACAAGTAACAACTCAGCATAACAGCCTCACCGCGACTAAGTAACGAGTCCATAAGGACAGCTCACTACGTCAAAGCTCGCCATAGGGTGAGCTCGCTACAGCGCGAGCTCGAGGACCCCCGATGTATTGAAAGGGAATACTCCAAGGAGAGTCTATCCCAGCTCGCGAGCTAGGATAACCAGCTCGCTCCAATACTTAGGCAGAAAAACTGCCTCAAGGGCAACCTCAAGAGGAATCACCTCGAAGTACCCCTAGGAGCTTGCGACAGAATAGCTCGCTACAAGGCAACTTGCTACAGAATAGCTTGCGCTCGCTACAAAGCAGC